AACAGATAGAAAATGTATCTGACAATATTTCTAATTCTGATGTATCTTTTGAAGATAAAGGGATCAAATTTCTAGAAAGGGTACGTAAAGAACAAATTAGAAATGAAATAAGAGAGAGAAATCGGGAAAAAAAGTTTCGAGAGAGACATAGTCTTGAGGCTTTGTCTCATCAAAATCCAGACTTATCTTCAGACAACGATACATCTAATTTATCTTGTGACTCAAAAACTGCTTCCTTAGAGAGGGGTGAGCAAATTTTAGCGGAGTCAGATTTTCTAGAAACTGAAATATCTAAATTGGAACAAGACGATAGCGCAAAAAATGACAACCCAAGTTGTAACCAGGCACAAAGTATCATTTCTTCCGAAATAAATATTATGACCGAGCATCAACTGTGCGACCCCGGGTCTCACCCTCATGTGACTGAAACTAAAAACGATTCAATTCAGAAGGATAGCTGAATTGAGATACAAAAATTTGTACATGAATTATGTTTAGAACCTGTATCAGAAGAATCAATTGAAGTCATTAAAAATAAAGAGCTGGATATATCAGATCACAATGAAAATGACAAACATATTGTTATCGAATTGGCTCATTTATATCAAAAAGCAAGGAAAGCTAAAAGGAATACTATCTATGCTAAGCAAGAAGAAATTTTAAGCTGGTATTATTATGCGGAAGGTTTCAAAAGGAGAGTTAATGATAATTTATCTTTTTGCTGAAATAATAAAAGAGCAGATGACTTGGCAAGAATTCAAGTTTTTGATGAAATTTGGGATTGTCTTTCTGGTGTCTCACGTGAGAATTTTCGCAAGCAAACTCAAAGAGCTTGTAAGATTTATAATTTATTTAACGGTATAGGAAAGGATAAGATTAAATCTTATAGTGCGAATGGAATATCAAAACTCTCTAACTCACAAATTCAATATATTATAGAACATTTTACCAAAGAGTCCCGAAATAGTAAAAATACTTTCACATCTAAAAAGGTAGAATGTGTACCGCGCGACCTCGGGTCTCACCCTTATGTAACTAAATTGTCTGACTCAAATGATTTTAAAGAAAGTGAGGTAAGTGCATCATCTATATCTCCATCTAATCCAACTCGTGATCATGCTTATTTCCGTAATAAAACATTAAAGCAATATCCTAATTTATATCGAGAAGTTAGTGATGGAAACGACGATTATTATGGAATTACTAATGAATCTTTATGCCCACTATGCAAGTTAGATCACGACGATGATAATAGTATAGAAGGTAGATATGAAATTATATTAAATGTGAACAGCATGGAATTGAAATAGAGGTAACGGCATGAACTTTATCTTATGCTAATACAATTCGCTTAAGTCTTTAAGGCATCTCTCTGAGACATATTTA